AAAAAAAAACAAAACCGGTAGTTCTAGGGTTGATATGACCCGTCGGTTATTCCTTAGCTAACATAACACTCCGAAATAAGAGTAAAAAAAAGTTTTTTTTTAAATTATATAATCATTACAGATCTTACGTTTGGTTGAACAGAAACCGAAAGTAACATCCAAGTTGTTATATTACGACATTAAACACGTCATCATGCCAAAAATTACAGTTTGAAATAAGCCTATTTGAGGTATGGTTTCACATATCTGATGTTTCATGGTAGATTTATAAACTTGTATTTATGATGGTGACGTATTAAGTTGTGAAACAATATATATATATATTCATTGGGAAATTTAATTTCTTCAACGAAATGCACGAGAAAGCAGATTCATATATATTCTACATACATACGCACATATATTTATATATATATAAGAGATAGTATATCGAGCAAGTGGTACGCAAATTTTTAATAAAATGATGTACATTTTCACAGCGTGGTATTTTTATAAGCAATTGATTTAGTTCGCTTTTTGGAAATATGATGATTAATCATTTTCCCGGAAATAATAAATCCTACATATGCTTCTTGAGCTTTCGAGCTGCATAAGGTGCCACAGGGCGCTAAAAATAGTCGCGTAACTCAAGTGTTTATAGCTCGTAACACTTCGCAGTAAACTGACGAGCCTCAAGATATGTGTTATGCTAGCATAAAATTCACAAATTTATAACAACTGTATTGGTACTTATCACAAACTCGACAACCTTGGCTTAAAAGAGTGACAGGAAAAAAAAAAGAGTTATCTTCGAGCACCCCAGTGTTTACTTTTGAGCGACCGACTTTTTAAAGCCGATTGTCGATTCGTTCTCATCTAAATTCCTATCAGATATTTTGGATTTGGAACGTCTTAAAACAGTGAGGCGTATGGATGAGGGAAAGAAATATCTTACATTTCCCATGTCATTTAACAGCGTAAAAGACAATCTGATAGTCTGAACTTGTCTTAAAACAGTGAGGCGTATGGATGAGGGAAAGAAATATCTTACATTTCCCATGTCTTTTAACAGCGCAAAAGACAATCTGATAGTCTGAACTTGTCTTACAACAGTGGCATACAATAACATTGAGTCAAACCGATTGAGTCAATTTATCTTAAATTAGTGAAGTACGATAATATTCAGTCAATCTGATAAGCTCAATCTGTCTTAAAACAGTGACATACTATAAGAAAAAGACAATCTGATTGAATCAATTTATCTTAAATTATTGAAGTACAACAATATTGAGTCAATATTATGGAATCAATTGATCTTAAATTAGTGAAGTACGATAATATTCAGTCAATCTGATAAGCTCAATCTGTCTTAAAACAGTGACATACTATAAGAAAAAGACAATCTGATTGAATCAATTTATCTTAAATTATTGAAGTACAACAATATTGAGTCAATCTGATGGAATTAATTTATCTTAAATTAGTGAAGTACGATAATATTCAGTCAATCTGATAAGCTCAATCTGTCTTAAAACAGTGACATACTATAAGAAAGAGACAATCTGATTGAATCAATTTATCTTAAATTATTGAAGTACAACAATATTGAGTCAATCTGATGGAATCAATTTATCTTAAATTAGTGAAGTACAATAATATTGATTCAATCTGATTGAATCGATTTATCTTAAAACAGTGTTATAGAATAGGAGAGAAACAATATAATAACTTCAATCTATCTGAAAATAGTGAAATAAAGTAGGAGAGGAAATATCTGATAAGTTTGATTTAACTTAAAACAGTGATATACAATACGTAAGAAACAATCTGATAATATAAATTCATCCTAAAATAGTGAAATACAACAGGAGGGAAACAATCTGATGAAAGAGTTGTGACTTTAAGTAATCAAGTCAAAGGGGAGAGAGACGAAGGGAAGATAGAAAGTCAGAGCGAATGCAAATAGTGGAAAACAAAGCAAAGAACCGTAACTCAGAAAAACAAATAACTTATTGAGAATATTACACGTGTATGTAGCTTTCAGAAAGTTAGGCGATACACTGATTTTCTTAAACCACTGACAAATATATATGCTAAACATCGAAACCACCAAAGTACAAAACAAAAATAAGTATTAATGATAGAAAGATTACCTCCGTAAGATTAGAAAAATGAAGGTTAGGTGTAATACTTAGTCAAAACAAACGATTCCAAGTTCGTCCAAATTTTTATAAGGCAACGATGAATATAGAGAACTTTATATACTGCATAGTTACAACAAGCATTAATGTCAACCATGAAGCCTAACATGGCGTCCTTTTTTTATACTGGACGTTGAAATCAATGACAATGCATTAAAATATATATATATAATGAATAAACTTTTATAACGAACGCTATAAAAGTGGCTCCAAATGGAATAAATTCCGAATTAGATGAAAAAAAAATTGTTTTATAGTTTTGTTTCCCTCCAAACCATCTCGTTTAAAGATATATATATATATATATATCCACATTCGGTTTGTTCCACGCACTGTGTGATCAATATTCTTCCTTTTGAGTTACAAGACGCTTTTCAGAGTGGGTACACAGTACGGCGACAGTCTTGTTTTTTTTTTTTATGTATGTAATAACACAAGGAGACACTTGTGATGTTCTAGCTCAGTTCGGTTCTAGCTTTTGTTTACTCTCTTCGCATCACACACGCATGCGTGATTCTCTTGTAGCTCCTACAAAATTATCGTTTTTATTAAATGATAGACTTCGGTGAGTCGATGGCTGAGAATGTCGTGAGGATCGTCCTAGGCCGAATAACAGATTTTAGAACGTCAAGATTGGACTCAGTTTATGGGACTCTCTCTTTCTGGTGACGTCAATTTCAGCGAGTTAGTAGACTTCAACATAAAACCACGTGTTCAAAGTAGTCAATGGTAATTGATGAAGTAAATATTGTAGAAATTCTTAAACATCCTCTAAAACGTGGAGAAGAGCTTTTTCTTTTTCAAAATCCAATCACAGTTACTACCGACTTGATAAGAATATCAGTATTGTCTGGTATAGTTCTTGTTGTTCTTGTCACCCAACAATATCAGTATTGTCTGGTATAGTTCTTGTTGTTCTTGTCACCCAACAATATCAGTATTGTCTGGTATAGTTCTTGTTGTTCTTGTCACTCAACAATATCAGTATTGTCTTGTATAGTTCTTGTTGTTCTTGTCACTCAACAATATCAGTATTGTTTGGTATAGTTCTTGTTGTTCTTGTCACTCAATAATATCAGTATTGTCTTGTATAGTTCTTGTCTCTCCTCTGAAATTTGTACGAGTACAACCGAAGAGAAACGTGTTCATTACCTCTCTAATTAAAAAATCGCAGAAGTACAAAAATATTAACAAAAATAAGCAGTTAAATCACTTACTATGTTAATTATGCTAATGGGGGTAATTAAGAAGCCCTGTGTGAAGTTAAAAGGGGGAAAGCCATATAGAAATATCTGCATGGTAAGTTTTTGAAAAATCTTGTTTTTCTTTAACATCAAAAGGACGCCTATAAAAAAAAACAATACAGGAGAGTACGAGATCGATAGAAGCTTTAGCAGCTGAATAACAGTATCCGTGAACGTAAGTGCATTGGACATTAATCATATTTTGTGTTAATGGTCGTTGCCTTATCTGAAATTTTGTACCACGTTTTTGTTTTACATTTAGGCTTAACTTCATTTAGGCTTAACTTTTCTCCTATATGAATGTATTTTACTTACGTATTTCCTGTCTTGTGTTTCAAAACATTTCTTTAATATCAAAGCTTCTATATATTTCCTAATTTTGTTCATTTCATGAGTTATACCAATAGGAGCTTACCTCCTTGGTCATGTGACCATCTGGGCAATCTCTGATGAAGTCTTTATACCTGGGGTAATAAAACATGTCATATCATTGGAATATTAACAAAGTTTACATACCAAATCTTACACAAACATACTGACAATAGTAGCTGCATAAATTTATCTTAAAAGTTATATGACCAGGACTTTTATTTTAAAATTATAGAATCTGCTTAAGTTTATCTCCTTGAAATTACAGTTATGCTAAGAAACCGAGGAATGAACAAAAAAATAAATATACATATATGTGTGTGTGTATATATATATACCCACACACACATATGTATATATATATATATACCCACACACACATATGTATATATATATATATACACACATATATATATATACACATACACACACATACACATATATACACACACACACACACACATATATATATATATACACACACATATGTGTGTATATATATATAAGACAAACTGGTATTAAACGTTATCAAACTTTTAGGAAAGGCCCGATGTCAACTTACCATTTCCGAAGTTGATTTGCTTTAACTGGAAAACAAAGTAAAAAATAAGTTAGATTATCAAAAATATTCGCGTTGGTCAAAGTATGACATATACTTCACAAAATAAAAGTCACACACTTGTTCTCAGACTGTTAATAAATTATCATCATTTAAGAAAACTATCTCTCACTATGAAATATACTTCACAAAATAAAAGTCACACACTTGTTCTCAGACTGTTAATAAATTATCATCATTTAAGAAAACTATCTCTCACTATGAAATATACTTCACAAAATAAAAGTCACACACTTGTTCTCAGACTGTTAATAAATTATCATCATTTAAGAAAACTATCTCTCACTATGAAATATACTTCACAAAATAAAAATAAAAGTTAGGGCACTCGACTTGCAATCTGAGGGTCGCGGGTTCGAATTCTTGGGGGCGTTATAAGTGATGGTCAATCCCACTATTCGTTGGTAAAAGTGTATCCCAAGAGATGGCGGTGGGTGGTGATGACTAGCTGCCTTCCCTCTAGTCTTACACTGCTAAATTAGGGACGGCTAGCCCTCGTGTAGCTTTGCGCGAAATTTATAACAAACAAAAACTCTGCTAATTTACAGAACAAAGTATCAACAAAACATCCAGTCGCGAGCCTTCTTCTTCTTCACATAGCTCGCATTTTATTTCATTTTGAAATGTACTGAACGCCTGTAACTGAAATGTACATGTCATGTCACACAGGTCAGTGATATACATTTATATATAATTGGGCTTAAATGTTTGGCATAAATCTAGACGAGTAGTTAATTTTAATTATTTGTTATTTTCAGTTTTCCTAATTAATGTCTTAAAACAAATTTAGTGAATCCAGTAATAAAACATTAAAAGTTGAAATTAAGTCTAGCGTATTATTTGAAGTCCTTAACAAATAGAGAAATATGTTAGCTGTTCAAATTTTGACTTTTAATGAATTTTATACAATAATTTGTTCCTTATTCTTTTAATTTTCGCGACGCTAAAACAAGCAAACAAAATAGAATAGATTTGAAATGCTTCGTTAAATAACACTAGATTTCGGAAATATCAACCCTTTAGCTGCCTGCTCTCTAGTCTTTCACTGCTAAATTAGGGACGGCTAGTGCAGATAGCCCTCTTGTAGCTTTGCGCGAAATTCAAAAACAAACACACAGAATCAGTATTGAAAATTTATAAATATTTCTTGAGAACTAAGTAACATATAAACCAGTTGATTTAGAAACATTTATATGCACTTCATAAGTTAATGCTTTCGTCAAAAATTAACGTTCTTTCATTATCACGCGCTCAACCAAGAGCTTAACGAAGAATAAAATAATGCATTTTAATGTAAATAGACAAAACTCAACAGTAGATTTGTTAAAAAGGTTACACATTGTTTAACTTGTATACAGTAGGTCTGTTGGCTTATGACGCTAAAAATCGAGTTTAAATACCCGTAGTGGGCACAGCACAGACAGCTCATTGGGTTACTTTGTGCTTAACAAGAAACAAACACTTATATCGCCTGGAGAAACTTCTAGTTCAAGACAACTAGTTGTATAAGTGAACATTTTCAAAGCAAAGAAGAAATAGTAGTGTTTCAAACAATTAATTATATATTTTAAAAATAACTATAAAATTGTGCTTAATATTGTAGCTAGTAATATTTAAACAGGCACGATTTTAAGATAATGTGAGCGAATTATATAGAATCTTCGTTAGGTTTTTCCAGAGTGAACAGTTAATGAAATCCTACAGTTTATAGCAGAGTTGATATTTGATAGAATATCCTACCCTTTATATCGTAAAAGTATAGTAAACGTTTTGAAATTTTTAATGAAGCAAATGTGATGAAACTTTGCAGTATAATTTCAACACTGACCCATAATGGAGCAGTTAAGAATGTAGTGTTAAAAAGTATTAGTTATTGGCTAATAGAAATGATACGTCATATTGTTAAAAAAAAAGACATTTAATATGAACTTAGTCCAGTACATCTAAAGTTTATTTTTGTAAATAAATCTACTTTATTATCTTATTTTAGGACAGTTTTATAAATGCTAAGTGCGTGAACACAATCATTAATTTGCATTTAAATATCCGGGAATTATAATTTTACAGAACTACACCATCCTCTAATTACACAACCCAAATCAAACGGGGTTTAACATCCACAAAGTTCCGGCAGCCCTAATAGCCATCAAAAATACCAGTTGATCAGTAACTAAAGAGACTGTAAGAATACTCACAATGTGTAGTCGACTCCAATTCCCGTAGGTCGTTTTTATTTAGCTTGCTTGAACTTTTTCCCATGCTGTTGAAAAAGGACGAAATTGAAGTCCACATAATGTTTAAGTGACCATGGTGATTGGCTCATTTAGGACTAATTGGTGTTTCACTTGATGATACCTTGTAGTTAAACCTTACTCTTGCTATTTGGGAAAGGAACGCAGTACAACTCATTGACAAGTTTTCACCAGCTCCACACTGATCGAAGCTCTCTCAACGCCCTCTGTCACAAATCTATAAACACTCCGTTGCCGTAGTAACTTACCATTATACAAGCTTTGCTGCGAAACTCATAATTCTGGTTGAAGAAATATTAACATATAACTTTGTTTCTTTGTTGTTAAGCGCAAAGATACAACGTGAACTATCTGTGTTTTGCCAACCGCGAGTATCGAAACCCGATTTCTATAAATACTTACACTTCCTGCTGAGCCTCTGGTGATGGAAGGGGGGCATATATTAATAGCAGTCAACGTATATTTTCATGTTCTAAAAGAACGTGCTATGAACTTGAAATTTTCTACGATTAAATTTGTCTTTACAATTTTGAATCAGACCTTCAGATAACAAACTTTTAGCTGAACATTTAATTTTCTTGTACTGACATAACTTAGATTTTTTTTTTTCTGCTACTTTAGTAACAACCGGACTGTTCCTCAGGAAGGTTTCCCTCGTTTACTGACAAATGACATTGAATCTATTAGCTATAAGAGGGTTAACAACATTTTCCAGGTTAGGTGCTCGACTCGCAATCTGAGCATCGCGAATTCGAATTCCGTCGCCCCCCCCCCAGTGGCACAGCGGCATGTCTGCGGACTTACAACGCTAGGAACCGGGTTTAGATACTCGTGATGGGCAGATCACAGCTAGCTCATTGTGTTGCTTTGTGCTTAACTTCCAACAAACAAACGAATTCCGTCCCCGAGATGCTCGCCCTTTCAGCCGCGGAGGCATTATAATGTAACGGTTAATTCCACTTTTCGTTGTTAAAAGAGTATCCTGGTGGGTTGTGTTGACTAGCTGCCTGCTCTCTAGTCTTTCACTGCTAAATTAAGGACGGCTAGACAGATAGCCCTCTTGTAGCTTTGCGCGAAATTCAAAAACAAACACACAGAACCAATATTGAAAATTTATAAATATTTCTTGGCAACTAAGTAACATACAAACCAGTTGATTTAGAAACATTTATATGCACTTCATGAATTAATGCTTTGGTCAAAAATGAACGTTCTTTCATTATCACGCGCTCAACCAAGAGCTTAACGAAGATAAAAAAAAAATAATGCATTTTAGTGTAAATATACTAAATTATGCAAATATTTCTTGTACTAAAAGAAATAAACAGGAATATTCGAGAAGAAATATTTATACAATTTCTAAAGATAACAAACAATCCGACTTTTATGAATCACTCTAATCTTAAGCGCTCACTGTTATGCATGGCGTGTTCAAATTGCCTCGATCATAATTAAAAAAAAAAATTGATAATGGCTAAAAGGTTAGGCTAAATTTGGTTTGAACGGATGTGGTGGCATTGTATACTTTCTGAAACTGGGCCGTGTTACGGTCACTCTTGCAGAACGTTAGCTACTAACAAGAAATGTTCTCGTTTCTAATGGATTTAACGTACTCGCTACATTTCAGTTGATCGAAGTACTTTCCTTGACCAAATCACGTTCTGGGTGTGGTTGGCAGTGGGACTGATGCAAGTCATGTAAACTGTCATGCAAACCTGATATTTCAAAAGCTAAAAAAGAATAAATGATATACGAATAAAATACTATTTTTTTCTAGTTCGTCCAGATTTTAATATTATCATTATTATTTTACAGGTTCTACAGGTTACAGGTTCTACAAGTTCTACAGGTTATAAGTTCTACAGGTTACAGGTTCTACAGGTTACAAGTTCTACAGGTTCTACAGGTTATAGGTTCTACAGGTTACAGGTTCTACAAGTTCTACAGGTTCTACAGGTTACAGGTTCTACAAGTTCTACAGGTTCTACAGGTTACAGGTTCTACAGGTTACATGTTCTACAAGTTACAGGTTCTACAGGTTATAGGTTCTACAGGTTACACATTCTACAGGTTACAGGTTCTACAGGTTATAGGTTCTACAAGTTCTACAGGTTCTACAGGTTACAGGTTCTACACGCTGCAGGTTCTACAGGTTACAGGTTCTACAAGTTCTACAGGTTCTACAGGTACAGGTTACAGGTTCTACAGGTTCTACAGGTTACAGGTTCTACAGGTTACAGGTAACAGGTTCTACAGGTTACAGGTTCTATAGGTTTTACAGGTTACAGGTTCTACAGGTTACAGGTTCTATAGGTTCTACAGGTTACAGGTTCTATAGGTTCTACAGGTTACAGGTTCTACAGGTTACAGGTTCTATAGGTTCTACAGGTTACAGGTTCTATAGGTTCTACAGGTTACAGGTTCTACAGGTTACATTTCGTGGCTAAATAATACACGACCTTCGATTATCCTGGATATTCAGTAAAGTTTTATGTTTAGAAACGCGAGAGAAAACTGCTTTCCTCTGTATCATAATCTATAAAAATGGAAAACAAAAGAATTATGGCAACTTTATAAACCAACTAACTTATAGTCAAACTGTACACTCCCTGTACATATATAAATTTATACGTTAATAATCTTTGGAATATTTATCTATATATGTATCTAACTATCTATCCATCTTCCTGTTTACCTATCTATCCATCTGCCTGTTTGCCTATCTATCTGTCTTCCTGTCTAGTTATGTACCTATCTACCTTACTACCTACCTATATCTATCTATCTACCTTACTACCTACCTATATATACCTATCTGTCTGCCTACCTATACATATACCTATCTATCTGCCTACCTAAATATACCTATCTACCTTATTACCTACTTATATATATTTATGTACCTTACTACCTACCTATATCTATCTACCATACTACCTACCTATATATATATATACTTATCTATCTGCCTACCTAAATATACCTATCTACCTTACTACCTACCTATATATACCTATCTACCTTATTACCTACTTATATATATTTATGTACCTTACTACCTACCTATATATATCTACCTTACTACCTACCTAAATATACCTATCTATCTGCCTACCTAAATATACCTATCTACCTTATTACCTACTTATATATATACCTATCTACCTTACTACCTACCTATATATACCTATCTATCTGCCTACCTATGTACATGCTTACCTATTTATCTACACAGCGTGGTCACAAGTAAATAGACACCACCTTTTCAGAAAAAAATGATCATTTTCAGTCATATTCATATGAATTGATATATTTATAATGTAATTAATATCCAGTAGATCTTCCTTTCGCTTCGTGGAGTTCGTTGATCCTTTGGGACATCGTGAGAATCATATTGTCAATTTTAGATTGTGGGATTGTCGCCTACTCTTGCTTCAAAACTTGGAGTAGATCGCTCTTCGAAGTTGTTGTTTTTGTTGTTGTTGTTGTTGTTGTTTCTTGACTTGCCGGTCAAGTATGGCCCAGAGGTTTTCGATGGGGTTCATGTCAGGAGA